CCAAAGTTCGCTATATGTTGAGTATGTATCATAGCGATTAATTGCAAAATAAAGTCATAAAAGATCTGAGCATGACCATTGTGCACATTAACCGGCGGAGCCTTAATTACGCGCAGTGTAATCATACTGAGAAGAAAAGTATTAGATATTTGCGACGTTAGATAATCGCACAGTGAAGTAATTACAGTCATGAAATCAGGAATTTCTGCTGAAAAGTCGTAATAAATCAGGTAATCCTGCATCAATGTGCACGGTTATATCGCCGAGTACAATATCGCACCCGATGCAACACGGCTTCTCATCTCGCTCCCCGTCTCGGTTTTCTCCTATTTTTATACGCGTTTTATTCCGTATTAAGACACTACACGCGACCCTGTTCTCCCCCTCCCTTCTCCTCCACGTTGTTTCCTTTGATCCACCGATCGGTTTAATCGGTTTAATTGATCGAGCGCGTCTTATTACACGAAGCGTCCTATAAACTATAATCATGCTCGAAAGTCGCCTCCTTAATAACGTCAGTCTCCTCACGAAGCGAGGGAGCAACGTCTTAATTAAAGACGAGTTTCCGGAAGGATGTCCGGGAACGGGGGAGATCCTAGCCGAGAGAGCGAACTAAAGAAAAAGCTCAATCGGGGAAAATAGGATCGCGAGTTAGGTGCGCGATTGCGAGCGTCGAACGCGGAGCAAAAAGGATTGATTAATGGCAGCTCGCGCCGAGCGACGCATATCTTTACGAGAGATAACTCCGTTATATAGATCTCGAATTAGTCGTGGCTAATTCCGACGCGTAACCCGCGGGAATATTCTTCCTGCATCGGCTAACAGCAATCGCCTCTGCAAGCGAGATAACAACTTATTAGATAACTCCATCGATCGAGTTAACGTGTGCGCGACACATCAGATGCGATAAACGAACGACTCCCTTTTCATGTTCGCGCAATTTCAATATAATCCAATTAATTTTAGATGCATGTATATCCGGAAGAGAGAGAATTTTATTGATTAATTTCTGTGTGGACAGCCCTTTCTCATTTCAAATATAATTATATGTCACTGAAGAGGATGCATTGAAAAATCCATTTAACTGACTCGAACACAATTTGGTTTGGGCAAACAAATGTTTCGGTTGTGAGAATCAAATTTTGGTTTGGAACAATCAAAAAATTGGTTTGCCGATATCGAAATCAAATTTCGTTCGAGTCAACTAAATGGGGTTTTCAATGTGAAATAAACGAAACGTCTGACAATAATTCTTAATACTTTTTCTGGATCGATGTAGTTTCGATATTTATATCCTAAAAAATTCTTGTATAAATTTTCCTTAAGAACTAAATTCTTCACATTTGTCCATTCCGCACCTAGCTCTCTTTTTTTAGTTTTGATTAAAAATCATCAGTCTTACCTATTGTTTCCCACAATTTCATTGAACAAGATTTAACAAAATCAAATAATACAGTTTATCGGAGCGGTTCGCCACGAGTAAGCCGAGAATCGGGGTCATTCAACTCGATTCGAGCGCTTTCTGATCCATCTTTCTTTACAGTGTATAATTTATTGATACTCGGGGATATCACCGTTCCTAAGTCACGACTACGACACGACGAGCGCGGGAGCACGCAGAGCGCGGCTCGGCGAGACGAAGAGACCACGGGCCTAAGTAAAACGACCTTGCACAAACAGCGCGACGAACACAGCGGCGCGGTGTCGACGACCGCGCTTGTTGTTAGTATAGCTCGCGAGAGATGCAACCGGCAGCGCCTTTCTACAGCCTTGACTGCAACCTCCAGCTCGCGCGTTTGTTCGCGAGCTGCCACCAACCTCACGTCACGTGCGAGATCAACGCGCATCCTGCGGCAAGCGCGACAAAAGAGCGCGAACAATGCGCGCCTCTGACCTGCGTTGTCGATAAATAAGACGAATTAGCGTATTTTTTATCTCCCGTTTATTCCTCTCCTTTTTTTCTCCCTCTCTCGCGACGCGAGCCTATTGTGAGTCTCTCGTGCGTGCTCATTACCGCGCCCCGCTGAATAATACGACGGCCGGTAATTTAACCTTGCGATCGGGAAGCGCGCGCGTCGTGTGTGTTCGCGAAGCAACGGGAAACTTTGCGATAACTTTTGCGGCAAACGCGGTAATAATAACACGTCACGAGGACGACGAAGAGACGCTCGCGTCAGGTTGCGCGTTTACGTTACCAATTTACGACCCGTACATTTCCGTTTTCGGTTTACGCTCCTTGGCATTTCGACGCCAAGATTTTTACGTACGAGCCGCGGCGTTATATAAGGTTACTTCGTTATCGAAACCGGTAGCATTAAATATCTCCCCTGTGATATTTCATTATCATAATTGGATATTGAATAACGATTTACAATTATGATATGCGACCGTTAGGTAATCCTCCGGATTTTCGGTTTAATTAAAAGAGAAATAATCGGGCGTAATTGGATATAAACGAAAGGGAGAGAGATGCGCGCTTTTTATTTACTCGTCAAATGTCGAGCTCGCAATTAATGGGACGTCCAAACTTTCGCGAAATTAAACGCCGCTCTTGATAAACGAAGGCAGCAGCCCAGTGCGAAATAATAACGCGCGTGCCTCGGCATCTCCGCGCCAAACGAATCCCCTTAATTTTCATTTGCGCACGTTCGTTTGACGCGGGCAAACAAACCTCCGAAATAACGTTGCGACATAACATTGTCGATCTTTTGCCGTTAATTTTTCTTCACGGAAGCGTCACATTTCCAAACGCGCGAAAACGGTATTCGCGAACGCGCCTTCGCCAGGCGCGGTTTCTTCTTTGCCTCTCTCGGCGCGCACCGGCCGAAAACAAGAAGGAAATAGAGATAAGATAAAAAAAAAGATAGATCGCAGCCCTAACGGGGAGTATTTAGCCCGTGAAGCGAACTGCCTGTCCACACACGCGAGCGGCATGACGTGGACGGATGTCGGAGTGAATTGGCGCAATGACCATAACCGGGGCCCACCGTGTACACGACTAATGCGCGACCATTTTTTTCCCCGCCCGTGTTAAGCCGCGGACGACCTCTGCGTTCGCCGATGCGAGACCGGCGCTCGTGAACTGCCGAAAGTCCGAGAAATGACGAGAAATTCACGCGACGCGAATTCCCTGCCATCCGCGGAACGGAGGATTTCGCGGACACGCTCTCGCATGTGTCTCATTTTTCATGATTAGACTCTTCTCGCTTCTCGTTAACGAGCGAAACCCGGATATCGCCACGGCTCGTCAGCTCGCCGTGTCCACCGATGTTGACGAGCAACACCCGTCTCGTTGCGCTGTGGATAATAAGGTCACAGCGCGCGCAATTCGTCTATCCCGTCTTGCGACGACCTTGCCTCCGTTTCCGTAGTGGCGCGGAAATTTTTCCAACGCCAGCCGACGAGCACGATTCGAGGACGGTGGTGGTGATACTCCTCTCTCCCGGCGGATCTATTGACGAGGATAATCCGATTTCACGACTCCCCGGGGCGCGACCTCGGATAAGCAGGGGCCCGACTATCCGAATCGACGCCGGAGACATGGTAGCGATAAGCTCGGCGCGAAAAGCCTGCGAAAAGCTTGCGAAAAGGCGACAGCTATATCAGTGCACTGATAGTGGCGGCCGCTTCATCGAGAGATGCCGACAAGGAGCGTTATTTAAGACTAAAAAACTATCAAAGTGGTCAAACGACCGGTTTGTAATTTTTTTTTCTTATAAAAATTACTCCAATTTCTAACGGTGCACATTCTCTAAGGATTAACCGTAATTTTGGTCGCAATGTGTAAACGAATAAAATATTTTGTCCTTTGCATTGCGTATTTTTTCCCCCCAAAAATCTTACTTAAACTGCTGCGGTAGAAAAGTTACACATTAATCGTCGGTAGTTTTAGTGTTAACGTAGCGCGAGAATCGCGCATACTTTTCATTTGCATTCTACGTTCGCTTCTTTCTCTTCCTGGGAGTACAAACGACTCGGTACGTGACGGTGCCCTCCTCTCCTCCTCCCCTTCCCGCGCGATTTGCACGCGTGCAAGTGGCCACGTGCGTCGTGCACGCTCAGGTGGCATCGAGACGCCAGGCACGATCTTACATTCGCGTTACCGTCGAAGGCCAAATTCGCGATCAGCTACGCTCGCTGCACTTTAAAGAAAGAAAAAAAAAAGACCAGAGCCGATGCAACTCGAACCGACTCGAACGAACTCGATTTTCAACTGTTCCGATTCTTTTAGAGGAATTCCTATTTCTTTATCTTTTGGTTGTGCGTAAGAAGAAGAGAGAGCTCAATGTTCAGTTCGACAGGGCAATCGCAAAGCTATGATCTAATGCATTATCAGTCGTGATTAATCAGCACAGATTTCTTTAGAAAGGCTGGTTCCTTCTTAGCCTATTAGTCTTTCTTCTAAATCCATGTCAGTGACTTACAATAAGTGTGAAACAGCATTATCGAAGCTCGGTTTATTATTAATTTTAAGTGATAGGAAGATTTTAGTGAGCCTTTTTTTTTTTATTTAAGATTCTGAGAAGTCTTATTGAACGTCCTGAGATATTGAAGTTACTTACATTTAATGTCGCTTCTCGGACTCGTGCGCGGAAAAGAAAGTTCCGTTGAATTAACTAGAAGAAGGTCTGATAGAAGAACCATAATTATGGTTCTTATATCAGAGGTTCTGTTCACTTCAACCAAAACGCGTTTGGTTGTTCACTTTCTGGTTAATGCAACCAAACTTTTCCTCCCGTGCAGATATTTCCTACTTTTTCAACAACGAAATGCAACAATAATAACAACAATATAATTAGTTATACTTTATAAGAGACAAGATAGTATCATAGCGCTGATGATATGCCCGCAACGCGGCATTCAACTTGAGAACGATAAAAGTAAGTATCTCGGCGATCGCGCAATTAAATGCGCGCTCAACAAAGAGGAGAGACGACGACTCGGGAATTTCGTTCCCCGATAAGGATCGTGTGACATCATCGTCACGAGCGTACACGTACCTCGCGGTGTTCTCGCCGACGAACTGGGACTTCTCGGTGTTGAATGGAGTGCCGAACGTCATGACAGAGCAGACAGGCGAACGTCGCTGCGAGTTGTCGGTGTCTACGGCGGCGTTCTTATCAGCGGTGCGACCGCCGAAGAGCCCGGCTAGTCAGCTGATCGCGCGATGCTTCATCGCTTCGGCCAGTGTGCGCATAACGGCGGGGATCTTGCCGTGTGCCGGCCGACGACTATTGTCCTCCTCCCCCGCGATCCGCACTTTTCTCACTTGTCTCTCGAGTTTAGCTCCCGATGTGTGTGTCCTCGTGAGTTAATCGAGAGAACACGCGTTCGCTCAGCCGCTTCTCCTTTATTCCTGATACACCGTGGCGTATCGCCGAGTCACTAAGGTGTCCAAGGGGGAGCCTGTCGCTGCTTTTCGTCCGGAACGACTTGGCACGGTGGAACGTGCGAAGCTACGGGCTTCTTCTGCAATCCTTTCGCGTTCCTCGCGAGCGTCCCCGATTCGACTGGAAGAGCGGAATCGGAGAGTCCGCTCGGAGCCGCCTTCCTCTCGCGCACGAGGCCTCTCCGATCGTCGTGCGTGTATATGTGTGGTAACGGTATATCGCGAAGAGAGACGTTCGGAGATTTACCGGAGCGAGCGGGCGAGGTGCAACGACCGGCTGATCGCGTTCGCCGTCGCGACTTGTCGCGGCTCGCGTTGTCGAGCTGCTACGCAACGGCCGGGAGCGGCGCAACGACGCGTCCTCGCCGACTTTTGGATATCGAATCTACGAGTATCCGGCTCGAACTGGTGCGACTCGATGTGGTCGGCCGCTTTCTGTCTGAATCAACGTTCACGTCCGTTCTCGACACGTTCCAGAGGATCTCCCGTTCCGCGCGCTTGTCTCGCGATTCCTCCCGAAATCAGGCGGCTTTGATCTCCTCGGTATTCCTAAGCTGCTCGAAAGCTCGTTAATCCGTCCGAACTTCAGGCCGCCGTTGATTAGATATTCGCAAGCTGCGCAACAACTTCGCCGCGCCACACTCGACGCTCTCGGTCGACTGACTGGTCTCTCTCTCTCTCGATATCACAGATCGGCGGATAGCCGCCTTTGTGTTTCACGCTGAAAAGGCTTCTTCTCAATCGTAGTCTCCTTTATCGCGATTTCGCACTTTTCGATTAGGTCGTCGCTGTTTATAGCTCGCAGTTTTACGGACTTTCTGCCTTTCCGTATCGCTGACCTATTTTTATTCTCCCGAGCTGGAGTCTTTTTCTCCCACTCGCGCTGTCGGGCCACAGAAGCGCGTAATCCTTTATTCAGTTCCCCCAGCTGACTCCTCCTTCTCGCCGCCGCCGTTCCCGATAAATTCGACGCGGAAATCGAGAAACGTCTCGTCTCTCTCGTTTCGTTGTAACCGCTATTCAGACTTCCCGTCCGCACCGCATCCGCACTACCACCCACTCGTCTCTCACGCGCTCTCTTGGATTTCGCGTTGTCGGAATACAATAGTACTCTCTTCCTCGATTGATCCCGAGCCCCTCTCACAGTCTTGCCGCGATATGTACGTGTTTCCCTTCGGATTCTCCTCTCGTCGTCGCGTGATCGACTCTCCCCCTCCCCGGTGATCAGAATCCGGGGCTGATAATAACAAGGACACCGTGTAGCACCGAGCCGATCGCGCGCGATCGCTTCGTCGGGTTAGCGCGCGATTCTTGCAGGCTTCACGGGATAATCGCGCACTCGACGTCCGCCAGCGATGACGACGGAGTGTCGCGCGGAATGCTGTGTCGTTTCGATGAAACAGCGTCGTCGTCGTCGGCTTCCACCTGCCGCGCGACTACTCGCTCGCTCGTTCGCGTTCTCTCGGAGTAACGATCGCGCGTACGACTGCGAGAGAATGAAGAAGAGGAAGAGCGGGAGAAAGAGAGACGCACGCACACACAGAGAAGGACGGGCGAGAGGGCGACAGAGAGAGAGAGAGAGAGAGAAGGAGCCGAGAGGGATCGACCGCGGCCGAAGTGCAGCGAAGAAGGTTAGCAGCAAGACCGTGCACACCGGGTACTACTGGTACGCGTCGCGCCTGGCACCCGACTGACTCCGGCTGCGAGGATGAAGCCAGACGACGCGGACGTGGCTGACGCCGCGGACTCTGCCGCCCCACCGCCGCCTCCGACGTCGTCATCACCACCCCCAGCAGCCAAGCGGGCGGACGGACGCGCAGCGCACAAACGGCTGTGTCGTAGCGGAAGAACCCGTGGTGGTATCTCTTCAACCCTCATTTCTTCAACCGTCGTTGTATCGCTCTCCGACTTCCGCCTCGGAGAGAGTGCGACGAGGAACACGTGTTGGTTAGATTGTGAAGCGACATGTGTATGAACGGGCACGAGCGAGCGAGCGACACCTCCATTCCGCTTCCTGAGATCGTCGATTTTAACCGGCCCACTCCTAATCTGCCGAAATAATCGTCGGATATGGTGTTATGTCGACACACGTGTGATATTTCAATTTGCAGCGTGATAACGACGGTCTACCGACGCGGCCGGGCGCAGAATGAGGTGAGAAGCACGATCTTGTATTTGAAAGTAAACGCGAGGTTTCCAGCGACAAAAATAGCGCACACCGGATGATGAAATCTAATATCTCGATAATAGGTTTAGAAAAGAAATTGGATGAAAAGAACCGGATGTCTCAGGGGTTACGCAAGTTTCGTTGCGTAAACCGCGATCTCCAGTCCAGAATTGAATAAAAGGCCGACGCGCGTTCGAGCTTGTTTTACGTAAAGGAAAGAAATGAAAAAAAAATAACGGAAAAATTTTGCCGAACAAATTAGGGTGGCTCGTCGCATAAAACCGTGAAATCGAGCTCGTTCAACTTCATCGCGGGTAGTTTCGACTGATCCTTTTTATAACGTAGCACCAGACGGATAGCGTGTCAGCCCTGTGTGTTTAAAGGAAAGTACATAAAGTGGTAATGTCTAACGATAAAAATAGTGTCCGGTAATAAAAACCGATACGGATTAATAATATATCGGCACGAATAACGTTACGCGCTCGATCGCGTAATAATTTCGCGTAACGAATCATTTATGTGCCAACGATCCGTGTATTTGTAAAACGGATTTTACACGGATTTTACGCGAATACCGGCGCGCACCATCGAGCGTTCCTGTTGTCCGCTCGGACACGATTATGCGAGCATGTTCGGTTTACGGATACGACAACGACGTCACCGGAATAAGCGAACACCTGTTTGCTCGTATAATAGCGACACACTGTCGGTCGCAGCAAGCTTTCATCCGTGGAAATGTTGATATATATATACCGTGTGTCCAGGGCGTTTAAATGAAAATAAGTTACACTCGTGGGACGAAAGTTACGTAAATGACGACACCCGCGTCGACATCGCGTGTCAACGCCATTTCTCCGTATTTATTATTCCATCCGAGCTGGACAGCGCGTGCAGCTCCGGCTTTTTACACCCGAGCACACTGATTAACGATAAATGAGTGACGCTCGAAGTGCAATGAATGAAAGATTTATGCCCAACGACGCACTCTTTCAACAACGTCATCGTTTCGACGCCGTTCGTTAATTTTACACTTGCATCAATTACGTCGGGACGAACGAAAATTTGCAAATTTCAAGCGCGCTGAAAGGAATTTTCTCCTCTTTGTCATAATTATGTTCAACCGTGAGAGATCGTACCTTCGTTGAGCACACTCGGCTGATTATTTCAACCGGGATAACGACGATATCAATCGATATCGTCGCTCGCGTGCCCCTTCAATAAAATCCCGAGTCGAAATTTTTTCGCTCGAATAACTCCGACAATCGCACGGGCCAAGATAAATCGTAGCGGACGCGGTACCAATGACGTAATGTGACTGTGGGATCCGTCGGGTGTCCGACGTCACGCTATTATTTTCAACTCTCGACATAAAACCTGCCGAAGCCTGACCTATCCCTGAGACACGGAGATATTTCCAAACGGATGGATTACGGATCGATAACGGGCGCTCTCTCTCTCTCTCTCTCTCACACTCACCTGTTCACACAACGTGGGGTTAAAAAGGGCTCCGAGATGGTGCTAAAAAAAGGCGAGGTGAAAAAAATTACGGATAAATTGAGATGAAGGGTAATCGACTCTGCTCCGTCTGTCTCGTAATACGTGCGCTATAATAAAGGACTGTTATGTACAAAACATCGACACTCGACGTCATCGTTGAAGCGTTTGATCGATCGGCTTTTTAATGGAATCATCGGCGCGATCTGTTAATACGTTTACACAGGCGGAAGGGATCGCATCAACGCGGTGGAACAGGGTAAAATGCCGTCGAAATGCGCGGGAAAATCGTACGATCCTTTCGGACGTATCGACAGCAAATGGAGAGCGCGAATGCGAAATCGTTAAACGGCGAAGTATTTGTTTTATTTTACACATATTTATTGCGACCAGATAATATTTTATTTGGTTAAAAAACATTATTTCAAATAATAGTGTTCTTTCCTTTAATTAGTAGAGTTTTCTTGAACGAGACAATAACATTTTTATTCAAACAAATAATATTTCGTGCGAATATATGTTTTTATGAAACAAATTTTCGTCAAATAAATAGAGATACTAAGTCTAAAGAAACATTTTTTTCTGCGTACGTGTTCGACTACATCGTGTCGCGAATGGCTCAATTAAATTTCATTAAATCTCGCCTCTTCCGTGTACCCACGTCTGTCTCCCACTCAGCACTATACTTCTCACGCTCTTCATGAGAATAGAGGGTTATCCTTATCGTATCGGAGCAACAGCAGCGAGTGTTGCACCATATACATGTATCCAATATCTGGTGGTTAGCAATTTATTAAATACATACGCGTACTTACGTACGTACGTAGTATGTGCATTTCCAAAGTCTCTCGCGGTAGATATGCGATAACGAGTAGCGAGACTCGCGTTCGCATACCCAGTAGTACTGTTTTCCCCGCCTTAATGTGCGTTCGCCAACTTGCACGGCAGGATGAAGCCATTAATTACGGTAGGACGAGCCTAAGAGGTTGATGATACGAGTAAACCGAGCTCCAAGGGACCGTATTACGTGCGGCTCGATATACATAGGGGTATGTACATAGGGTATGGAGATAGCATCAAAGATATGTATATATAAAAGACGCAAAACCTAAAAAAACGAAACTTGAAAAAAAAAACCTAAAGAAAACGCGAAACCTGGAAAAACGCGAAACCTAGAAAAAAACGTGAAACTTAAAAAACGCGAAACCTAAACGCAAAAACCTATGCTCGCAACCTATGCGCAGAAACCATAGATAGAACCCATACGCGGAACCTATGTACGAAACCTAACTTAACTAATATGTACATATATGTTCTATGTAGCAAACGTATCATCGCGTTCGCATAAATTCAAACGATCGTCTCGCGACATTTCAGTAAATTAAGAAATCCCCCGAAATAACTGTAGCAAGAAGATCGCAGTATTTTCCCCTCGATAAGCCTTGCCCGATATCCGATAGCAAAATTAATCTCTTCTGCGAATAACGACGAAAATAAGGAGCAAAACAGAGAATAAACGACAAATTCTCTCACTGCATACTGGCACTAATTGCAAAACTCGAAAAGGAAAGAAAGAAAAACATTACGACTTTTCTGCCGATAGTATTATGCAAATGTGTGAACGTGATGCAAAAGAACGCCGTGACGAACGCTTATATTTGCAGTTTCGTTCATAGATAAACAAAGGCTCAAGTGCGACAAAAGTTTGAGAGGGAGTAAAGCAGCGTACAAAGAATCGAAGTAGGCACTTCAATTCTCTCGATACGTTTGAAAAGCGAACACGTGCTATCTTCAGACCGATTCTTTGATAGTGACGAAACCGCGTAGAAAACCTGTGAGTCAAGCGAATTATTATAGATCGCGAAATCACGACGGTACTTTTCTCAGTTACCAGAAGAAGGGACACGTAGGATATGAATGGGTTTCTCGAGAGAGGCATGATTGAGTTACGCGAAGAACTCTCGCCGTGTGAGCGGGACGACTCAAAATAAATCCAACACTCATCGTCCCGGCGACATCCATTCGGCCTAAGTCCCTCATCTTCAGCCGGAGAGCGCTCCGGGCGTGCACGCGGAGGAGGTTTAAGAGCCGTTTCGGCGGAACTAATTCTCCGTAATACGAGCGTGTTCCAGTTAGCGACCAAAAATACCGCGTTTCATTTACGGCTCATGAATCTTCAAAATGGCGAAATCAACGGCCCCTTACGGGACCTGGAAGTTTATATAGGCGTCTCGACATTAAATTCAACGTGTCGTGGGAGAATCCAACGGGGAATATCCATAGGTATCCTGAAAACAGGACAAAACACTGCGTAGAAATCCCAAACGGGGCCGAAAACTTTTATCTCGCTCGCGAGGTTGTGTAGGTGTTCGGTCGTTCGATCGGATTTTCGCGCACCACGTCATAGCCAGGATGCACAAGGACGAGACAGATGCAGGTTACACGAACCGGTGTACGTATCGCCGGCAGAAAGTAGCGCGAGAGCAATACGTATTAATTATCGTCCGCTCGCCGGAGCAGAAGCGCGTGGCGTTCGAATCGAGTCGCAAAGCGACACATCTTTGGGCCGGGGAAATATTACACTTCATCTCCGTGCACTTCAAGATACGGTAAAATAAATCTTGTCAATTATCAGTCTTACGCGTAGAAAAAGAAACACGTCACTCTCGTTAACGGTTAAGCTAAATCGCTCGAAACGCGCGCACCGTACGACGCTGTTGCGATCGATCTTCTCTCTCTCTCTCTCTCTCGTTTCGTCCCGACGATTGGACTAAATAAATGGAGGTATTTCGACAACGGCCATGAAGAATATGTACTTGGTTTCGTGACTAAGAAATAAGAAGTCCCCGCTAAAGCTTCCCACCATTTCGCGATCGCCGACTGATAAAAGACCCTTACATATATACCCGGTGTGTGTGTGCGTGCAAGATAAACTGACGACGCTAAAAGCGGGGTCAACGTACATTCGGACTTGGTAACTCCGGCAAGGATAATAGCGTAGTCGTATTCCCCCGACG